GGCACAGTGAGCAGCGGGTGAGCCAGCAAGAGAGCCCTGCATGCTCTCTGACCCCTGCCGACGTGACCTGACCCCTGCGCCCTTTGACAGGGGCCCAGAGGTGGCACCAGCTAAGCACAGGTGAGGACTCCACCTGAAACTGGGTTTTCAAGGCCGGAGAGGCTCACGCGGGAAACTGCAGTAGGTGCTGCAGGGGTGGAGCGTTATGCATGGGGTGCCTACATTCATCGGACAGAAAGACTGGGGCGCGGGGTCTCTGGAGTTCACGATCACTGAAAAGCCTGGGGAGCCCAGTGGAGACACAAGCTCATACCCAAGGAGATCACGTAGAACAACCAAACGCATCTAACTTCTCGAAATAGACGTTTCTTAGAGACCACGAGGTTACCAAGCAGCAGATCATGCCAGAGCTCTTTCTTGGGTGACGCTGAGCTGCGCACTCTTCTGAACACTGGCATGGATGTAATGTATTCGGTGTGGCTGCCCCCGAGGCCACAAGAACTCCCACCGCTGACGAGGGACCGCAGAGGCTGTGCACGGCAGCCGTGGGCTCGCCGGTAGGTACCCAAAGGCTTGCCCACCGCCTCGGGCGACCTCGAACTGTGACATCAGGGGTCTCTTCCTCCCTTACTGCCCCCCGAGTTGTGACCTGTGCTGCGTTTCTCCCACATCTCCATCACCGCGCGCCCCTTCTCCCCTGTTTTCTCGCTATGACTCTGCTCTCTCAAGCCGGCCCGAGGATTTTCACTTTGATGTTGCTTTACTTCCTTCACTGGCTGAAATGCACTCTTGCTGGTGTTCTTCTAGAAACCGGTGCTAAGCGGGGACATTCCTCACCCTCCATTGACTCAGGGGACAGGCTCCTGGTGGCTTTAGTTCCTGCCTCATCTCTGGGGTCAATTCACGGACCAATTTTTGACCAGCGGTGTCTGGAATGTCACGCACAAACTATTTGATAAATATTTTTTGCTGGATCTATGGGAATTATAGGTGGAGGCCTGATTATTTTAAAAGTGAGTGAAAGAGAGGACAATTCCTACTCTTCGTTGGCCAAAGAACAGTCAAAGCAGGAAGAACAGCCCTGAGAATATGAGTGGTGTCTCTCTTCAGCGTAGGCATTTGCGCTAACAACATCGTAAGGGAAAAAGGAGAGATTTTTATCAATGCTTGATAATATCTGGAAAGAGAAATACATTCCTTATATCAGCAGAGGGCATCCTGGTGGGAAATGTAACCAATATCATAAAGAATAAAGCAGATAAAAGGTAAAATAGGAAATAAAGAAAAAAGGTAGAGCAGTTGAATTTAAACTGATACACAGAGATGAGACGTGGTTAAACCAGGAGCCTGATGTTGGATGGAATTAACAAAAATGTAATCGGCATTCTTGACTTTCTCTTGTATCAAAGAGAAAGGGGAGAATTAGAGCCAGATCAGCTGAAAGCAGTTCTCGCTTTCAGAGGGAGAGAAAGGGGACGCACTCTCAGAACCCCGAAAAGGAAGAATCTCCCCTTTCCCTGTTCGCACGGGCCTGTCTCTAAACGCCACTGAAAAGTTAGACGATCTTGATAAAAGAAGTTCTCTAAGGCGATGGGAAACCTCACTTAAAAGGGGAGTTTCAGGCAATGAAGACTAGTTCTGCTTGAACAAAAGAACACAGAGAAATTAAGGTACAAGCCTCGGGGTCTCTGGTTCCTATTCCCACTCTGGGAGTCGAACATGGTGAATCTGTACTACACAGCTCGGGCGCTTCAGCAGACCCCAGGAGCTGACGTGCAGGGGCTACATACTCATTTCCCTAGCAGATACAGCGAGGGAGACTGAGAGCGTACACAGCGGCTTCCTAATCAAAGACACTGGGGGTCTCTGCATTCTTGTTGGTCTGGTGTCCCCGCTACGAGGCTCGCACTATCCAAGAGCCGACTAACGCCTGAGTGTGAGTAGCTGTTTTTACCATGAAAGGTGTAAATGAGTTGAAGTGTCCAGTGTTGGTGCCACATAAAGGGGAAACTGTGTGTGTGTTGGGGGGTCCTGATGGTGAACATAGGTCAGAGAGCAACATCCAATCTGCCAAGCGTGGGCGGGCGAGGTGTGAACTCGGGAAGGTGTACAGATAGCTAAGAAGGAAGGAGCCAAAGAGTCTGTGTAACAGCAGCAAGAGTGACTGGCGACAGAAAAGAGACCGCAAGTCTAGAGAGTAACAAAGGGCCAAGCCGTAAAAACGGAGTTTTCAGCATTGGAGAGAAAGTGCTCTGTGCTAACCGTGGATAGCAGCTGTGTGGTAGAAGACCGTGTATGTAACTGTAAAAATATCAGAAGTGAGGCCCTCCCTGGTGGCGCAGCGGGTTAAAGCACAGCACTAAGAAACTAAAGCCACCTCCCCATGAGTTGATCCCCGCCTGCCCCGGAGGCGACCACATGGCGAGGCAGACCTCTCCTGACTCGCCCGCTGCTCCCCTCAGCAGTGTACTTTGTCGATCTGCCTGTTCTGCTCCCCACTCTGTCTCTGGTGAATCCTCTCACCCTCCACATCTCTGGCCTGTACCCCAGTTCTGTATGAATAAATAAATAAATTAAAAAAAAAATTAAAAAAATATCAGAAGTGATAACCTGTTGAGGATTCTATTTTGCCCTAGACTTAAGACTTTACGGTTCCATTTCAAAAATCAGAAAACTTGGATTTGACTTAGGCAGAGGGCTGACTTTTCTCTCAGGGCCTGCAGGCTCCTCAGCAGTTTCAGCCACACAGTACACTCAGCTTCTCTCTGAATCATGGACACGTGATCGGCCCAACCCTGGACCATGAGCAAAACAGGGCCCGGCAGATTACCTAGAAGCCCAAATAAAAAGGCAAGAAGCAAAAGGAAACTAATTTACCTTTTCAGGCAAAAACTTTAGACCTAGTACGGAATTTCCTCAAATCAATATCTGAATTTCCTCAAATCCATCTTTGAAAACTAGAAACACTACAAAAACTAGACCATCTAGAAAGACTCTAGTTGCAGGATTTTCTTGAAACTATTAAGTATTCAGGCCATAAACAGAGGCAGAGCAAGGCCTTTCCTCTTGCCCCCGAGGCCCGTAGCCACGTGAAATGACCAGGGTCAAGCCCTGGACTGGACGTCCGGCCTGTGAATCGCAAACTCTCCTCACACTGATCTGGGCACACTATCCTTTGCTGCATTAAAAAGGAAAAAACCACACAGGCCACACCCCATTTGCTTGGCATTTGTGGTTCTCAAAGAAGCAGTCCCAGCTTCGCCCAGGTAGAAAGTGGTGATCAAGTGTCATTCTATGGCCACCACGCTCTGCAGAGGTGCCACTCAATTTACAGAGTGCAAGCTGAACTGTTTTAAAGCCAACAGGTTCTCAACTCACGCCCTGCGGGTTTTGGCCCTGCCAACGTGCTTCTGAACGGTGCGTACACCGGTCCCGTAGGCAAAACAGTGCCTTCCTGCTGTTTCGGAGAAACACGTTGTACTAAGAGTGTGTAGTCGTCTTCTTGAATAAATCAGAAGCACAAGACCCCCAAATAAATTCATCTTCATGCCCCAAACAATCTGTGACTTGTTCTCACACGAGATAAGCATTCACTCTAAAAACCACCATGTCTTTAGTCTTCAGGGAGCCTGAGTGACAGGGAGTGTCTCACGAAGGACCAGCCAGTCTGCGGACCTTAGCGAGGCCTGGAGCCCCGCAGATGGAAGGTGTCAGCACCTCTGTGGGAATCAGTGCCACACACCTTCCCGGAGGAAACCCATCGTCCCTTCCTTTCATGCCCCAAGCGACCCATAATAAAGACTTAACCGTTACTGAAGAAATCACTTAACACGATCAAGGCATTCAATCAATTAGGAGGAGTCAGGAGACACCGTGGTAGCTGCTTACCTATCAAGGTGTGGAAAATGGCCGCAACGGCCCCAGCCACCACCATGCACAGGACGGCTTTGGTCCTGTCTCGCTTGCTGTTCACGAACACCAGGCCCACGTTTTTAAAGTCACTCATGGGTCCCGTGAAGAACTTCATCAGGGAGTACGCCAGCCCGTAGCTGGCCAGCATCTCCACGGCATCTTCCTTGACGGCAGCGATCCCCCGGTTCAAGGCCTGGGAGGGGAAAGACAACAGATGGGGTGAGGAGCTGCCTCGTCTCCCGGGCTCACGATCTAAATAAAACTCAGCAGAGCGTGTTTCTATAGAAACGCTAAGCAGTTTATAGGGCAGGTCTCGCCGTAATTCGATAAAGGTTATTAGTTTTCATTTTTATCCGTATTAGCTCACTTTGCAATATCTTCTGGGCGGTGGGGGTGAGGGAATCCCTGCCCAGTGGGGTTGAAAAGAAAAAACCCAACAAGCATGTCCTGGAAGGACTGGAAAATACTAAGAGCTAAGACGCTTTGGCCACATGCTTCACATGTGAAATATATTCATAAACTGAATCTACTTCACAGCAAAGGGCATTCTGGAAATGAGTCAGTCATTTTACATGGAGAGGGCGCGGGTTTCTTTTATCTTTTCAAGAAGACGTATGTATGTGTATGTACAACTGCACCCACACACATAATCTGAAAAGCGGAGTGGGCCTGAGGTAGGTCTCTGGAGAGTGAGTTTTATGCTGTGAAAAACATAATCAAGGAGCTTATTATTCCATCAATGGATGCAATTCATCTGACTCTTGCTGTATTTTAACTGGAGATATATTCCTGGGCTCTGCAGACACAGCCGAAGGAAAAACAAACAAGCCTGCTCCCCCCACCCCACCCCAGGTCTGACCATCTCCTTTTGGGTAACGCTGCCTCAAGAAGATGCATACGTGGGATATTCTAATTTTAACCATGTTTCTCTGAGGTACTGGTGGCCTTGACGGTTATTTCCCAGAAACCAACCCTACCTGCTAGACAGATAAATTACACAGGACATAGTGAGAAGGCATGTGGAGAACTTTACCGAAAAGATGTCACCAGACCATCACTTCTATCTTTTGGAAAAGAGAACTAGGCAGAAGAAATACAAAAAACAAACAAAAACGCTGCTTTCTGGGCAGTCAATTGCTTTTCAAAATAGACTTTGTTTTTCGTGCAGCTTTAGGTTCACAGCAAATGGAACAGAAATACAGAGTTGCCATACGGCCTGTACCCCAACACCCACAGCACCCGACCATCAACACCCCGCACCGAGGGCCCATGTGACGGCCGAGGAGCATCACAGGCCCCAGCTGCGTCAGGTGCATGCTGCGCATCCTACTTTCTACAGGTTTTGACAACTGTACCCCGACATACAGCCACCATTACGCGGCCGGACACTCTCCACAAGGTGCTGCTAACAACAAAAACCACTGTATAAACGACTAGGAGAATCTGGGGTCACATCGGATGAGAGCTGTAGAAACCCAGTCGCACCCTCCTGCCGAAGTCCCAAGCATATAAGCGATCTCATAAAAGCCTTACAGGCCTTACGACGTGAGCTAGTTTCACTGTTTCCAATTATACCCCGAATTCCCTTTTCCTTTTTTCCAGCTACAGCTTAAAAATTTCCCTAAGAACCTTCTTCGTCTTTGCAGCGCACAGCTGCCACTGAGCCTTCCTTACAACAGACTTGCCTCTACCAACGCTAACTCAATAGCTTCCCACCCCAAAGCCACGTGAGCGCCAAGGTGCTTCTGGCTGGAGCGCTCAGTGCGGGTACTAGGCAGCAGGCTCCTTCCGGTGCCAACCCCCTACTTGGGCATCTTCCAAATTAATTTCCTCTCCAGCTCCTGGACTGGATGCTATCATCGTCCCCAGGCCCCTGGCTGGGCAGGCGTCCATCCCAGGGATGGGATGGGCCACTGAGGCCCGCTGCTGCCTCCCTCTCGGGGAACACGGCCTGCAGTCGCCGAGGCTTCACTGAGCACACCTGCCCGCAGGTAGCAGTGGTGGCCTGGCTGATGTGGGCGAGTAACAGGCGGCTCCCCTGCCTCGGACGGAGCGCTCCAGTGAGAGTCGTGTTTTGGGGCTCCAGGGGCAATCAGGAAAAGGGAAGACCGCACCCTTAGCCGGTCCCACCCCACCCACTGCTCCGCCATCCTCCCGCCCGATGCTCAGTCCTGATGCAGGGTTCCCCCAGTCTTTGTCCCAGAGACCCCGACTCAGACCAGACCGCTCTTGGACGCTGAGGGCAGCGGTGCGGTCTTCTCTTTCTTCCTCACCGTCCCCCACACCTATGGCTGCAACCTGCTGGCAGTCTTGATGCTAAAGTTTGTTCAAACTGTAGTGAAAGGTATGACTCAGGACACGTGAACAGGACAGGGCCCCCAATCACACAGGGTTCCTGCTCTCTCTGTGCCTGATTGGCACAGCCTAGCTAGTCTCACTCTAGAGATCCCAGCCCTGCCCGGGGCACCCACCGCATCCGCCGATTGCTGACGGAGTCCTAAATCCAGCACCGCGCAGGTGGGGAGGGAGGGTGCGGGAAGACCAAGTGGAAGACTCCAGGGAACTCATCACGGTTTGACAAGGGAGGGCCCTGGGGGTGAGGGGCACACGGTGCCTGCTTCTAGCCTTGAGCTCAGGGCCTGGGCACGTGCCTGACACGGCTAATCCATCATGGCCTGGACACAACTAGTGACCGGAGCACCAAGCAGCAGCTGGCCCAGAACAGGCACTGGAAAGCCAGGATGTCTGCCTGTTCTGCTTACTGTTGTGCTACGTCGGACGGCTCAGCACCCCATCCTCAGTCACTTGCAGGAACCGTAAATCCACATCAGATGTTGATGATAAGGTGGTAGGACTTACAAGTTATCTTTAGCGCAAAGCTTTTAAAGACTGTACCCAGGGCCTCCTGGTGGTGCAGGGGGTTGAGTCGCAGCACGATGGGGTTGTTCGCAGCCCCTGCAGCACGAGTTCAATCCCCAGCCAGGGAGTGACCCACATGGAGCAGCAGACCTCTCCTGACCTGCCCGCTGCTCCCCTCAGCAGTCGATTTCAGT